TTTCACCACTTTGTATTGGATGGTGTGATACAACTCCTGTTCAAACGCCAACACCTTTTGCTGCATATCGTACACTCGGATCCAATAGGACTGAGAGCCGGTGTCCATCACGAGACACACCACTCCTCTCAATACTTTTCTCCATTTCATATGCTTCGGTAGTCGACTCCTATGGAGTTCGGCCACAGTTGTGGACACGGGTTGACAGCCCTCTCCCAACATATCATTGACGGCCAAACACTCTGAATAAGATAATAGTTTGGAACTACACTTCAGTCCAGGTATAGGTGCCATTCTGAGTGTCAACAGTTTGTTTAGATTTCTATTATGCTTGAAATAATAACAATTAGTTTTGATCAATTTTAAATTGTATTTAAATTACACGATTGTGTGATACATAAGTCAAAAGTCAAGTAAATCCGTTAGAAATGAGAGTTCAATCAAATCTGTTAACTAATTCCGAGAATGGATTGGTAGACAAACTGTTGGGAAAGGGATGCGAGTCATGGGCGACAACTATCGCTCAACTGTACCGAAGTCGAGCCCCACATCACAAGAAATGGTATGAAGGGCTGATAGGAGTGGTATGTCTGGTGCAGGACTTGAACACAAAATCTTTTTGGATACGAGTCTACGATATGGACAAAAGACAAATGGCTTTCCAACAACAGTTGTATCACACGATTAAATACAAGTCCGTTCGGCCGGCTTTCCATACGTTTAGCGCACCGGACGATCCGGTAGGCCTGAACTTTGCCGACCTATTAGAAGCCGACGCCTTCGCCAAAGCTGTCGATTACATCAAAAAGGCACAAATGGCTCGACTCAAGGAATTGGGTTGGAATGAGACGTCCGGGTATGACGAGAAGAAAGCGCCCAACCATTTGAAAACATTTCTCGAGAGGGCCGGCGCTCAACAAATAGCTAACGATAAAGAGTCCATGAATTTCATAATGGATTTCATTGAAAAGAATGGAAAAGAGCCGCCAAATGCTAAACGTAGAGCACTGTCACCGTCTCCCTGTCCAACGCCTACAGATATATTCAGATTCTACGAGGAATACATCGAAACACCGGAACAGTCGGTGAATGGCACTCAGACTCAGAGCAAACCCTCGGATCAAATTACTGGTGATGTAAGCAATGATCAGAATATATTGGGAGCTGAAGATAATGGCGCTGATAAGGCCCCTACATCTTCGTCTGGTATTTCAGTGCCTCCAAAGTCTTCAGGACAACAATCATCGGCCGCTCCCTCTGCCAGTGATTCAACAAATATTTATGACAATCCAATCCCATCCACATCCACAGCACCGCATCCAACTCCATCCGGTCCATACAAATCCAAATAAATGTCAATCATTTAGTAATCAATGATTTGCTTTAAATAAAGATTGTTTGCAAATATAAATTGATTTCAATTATTCTTGTATTTATTGATTTAAAATTGTAATATTGTTAACTAGGCTATGAATCAATTATATTAAATATTAGAAAATTAAAAATAATAATATAATTACATAATAATTATATAATTAATAATAATAAAACTTTAGTATAATTATAATAATCCAGTTTTTGTGTAGTTTTTGTAGAAAATTCTTTACTTTTTATTTTCTAGTTATTTTACTAAATCAATGTTTTTACATATTTTCATTGTCAAGTACAAATCCATTGAAGAATATTATTACAAAACTTATCAATACAAACAGACAAACTATAATTAGAAATATAAATATAAATTATGCACTAAATATATTAAGTACAATATTTATCCATGTGTATGTTTAATTGTGAGATAATTAACTTATGTATGTGGGGGTGTATGTAAATGTCAGGGACAGGAAGGTAATGGAGTGCGTGAGTGACTAGTGGATATTATGGTCAAAGTGGAGGGTATTATCTGGCATACAGTATATGTACTCAATGGACACATACTGTATATGGTTTCAAAAGTGGACTGTAAATAACTCTCACGTTCACAGCCATAAGACTCATTCACTATTGTTTATAGATAGTATATGACATATAACATAATACTCTAGGAATTGAGTCAACCCTACTTGTACCAGACTAATTAGGTTTTAACAGTGTATAAGGTGTATGGTTTAGCATTTATTAAATTATATTATTTTTATGGTAGTTATAATGTTATAAGATTTTGAGTAACAATTAACATATTAACAGATATGGCTTACGTATGTAATCACAGTAGACTTGTCTGAATATGTCTCATTAACTAGCATTTTTAAATGACCAAACTCGCTATAAGACTACTAATTGTGTACAAAAAATTTTAATTTAAAAACAATTAATGAATTTATTTATTTAGAAACATTTCTTATAAAGTTTTTATATAAATAGTGTATAAAAATTAAATATAATGTGTGTGTTTTGTTGTGTGAAATGAATGTTAAAACATATAATAATAATAATAATTGTTGTTTTCAATCGTCAGTTGTTTTGCCAAATTTGCTAATCTTTTCATAATTTTCGTTATGAGTCCTCCGGTGGGACGACAGGGAATGTGCGGCTCTGAAGCTCTTATTGCAGGCCTCGAAATCGAACATTTATTGAGAGTGCAAGTGTCGGTATTCTGAGTAAGTGATAACAAATATCTATCATATACTGTATATTGTATTATGAGATCCTTAACTCAGTTGGGATGAACATGGTCTGATTAATCCAAAATTGAGTGTATCAAGTGTATGGTTTAGCATTTACTAAATTAAATTATTTTTATGGTAGTTATAATGTTATAAGATTTTGAGTAACATTAACATATTAACAGATATGGCTTACGTATGTAATCACAGTAGACTAGTCTGAATATGTCTCATTAACTAGCATTTTTAAATGACCAAACTCGCTAAAAGACTACTAATTGTGTACAAAAAATTAAATTTTAAAAACAATTAATGAATTTATTTATTTAGAAACATTTCTTATAAAATGATAAGTTTTTATATAAATAGTGTATAAAAATTAAATATAATGTGTGTGTTTTGTTGTGTGAAATGAATGTTAAAACATATAATAATAATAATAATTGTTGTTGTTTTCAATCGTCAGTTGTTTTGCCAAATTTGCTAATCTTTTCATAATTTTCGTTATGAGTCCTCCGGTGGGACGACAGGGAATGTGCGGCTCTGAAGCTCTTATTGCAGGCCTCGAAATCGCATTTGAATGGCCGCTCACCTGTTGGGCCGATCGCAGCATTTAATCATTATGATCTAGTAACATCTTGATAATTTACTATAATAATACAGACCTGTATGCAGTCTTCTATGGATTATAAGATTTTTTAATTTTTTAAACTGATTTGAACAGCCTTTCCAATCGCACAAGTATGGCTTGTCTAATTATAAATGCAGATTATTAATTTTCAATGATAATTACAGCTGAGATGACAAACTTTATAATTATAATTTACAATCATGTATCCAATTAATGATTGTATGGTATATATAAATGTTTGGTCACCTGTATGTGGATTGAAAACTATATTTACCTTTACTTTGGACCTTATAGTGTTGAGATCGATGTCTTTGCAATTGAAACCATGATTTATATATTTTATTGCAACTGATATAATCGCACATAAATTGGTTACCATCTAGAAATTAAATATAAAACAAATGGTTTTTAATTGATATTAAATGAATTTAGATTTTAAATATAGTATAAGTTAGTAAAATAAAATAGATAAACAATTAATTAATTAATTAATGTTTTAATATTTTATTTGTCTCATGATTTTTTAGTGTACTTTATAAATTATAATTAATGATTTAAAAGTACTTCGACTGTACTTGATGCAATTTTCAATGATCTATAAATTATTGTTTTAATGTGGAACTATATCTTGATAAATTATATTTTTTAAAACTAAATAAAAATAGAAAAATAATAGTTAATTGTGCCGAATCCACGTGTACTATTCATGTATAAAAATTGAATTTATTTTAGTATATTTAATTAAAATCATATGTCATATAAAAAAGTATATTTTAATTAACAGGTGCATTCAGTTAATAAGTTGTACGCTCGACAACCAGATGGTAGAAATAGACCTGTACAATTTTTATCACAAGCGTATAAAAGCACCGGAACTTTGCTAAAGTACTTTCATTACATCAACAGTTTATCATTATATCGTCGATTCATTACATTATATTTTATATAGGTAACAAAAATGAGACTATACTGTATTTCCTATAATTGAAATAAAAGTAATAAATGGTATACTTTTTCTTTAACCAGTAGATAACAGGTGTGATAATTATTTATAGTATTGTAAATTAAAAATAAGCAAGGATAAAGAATAACGAGAGCATCAATCAGAGTGATAATGTTAAATGTACTTTTTAATTTTAAAAAATTTAATAATGATAATAAAAACTTTGCGTTAAAATTAATTAATTGTAGACTCAAAAATTACAGTTATTAATATGGTAAATAATAATTAATGATTTTAAAGCTAGCCCTTTTAGGTTAAATAGCTCCTGGTACAATACTGTTGTGCATAAGAACTTTAAACTTTTTTGGTTTATATGAACTAATAGTTAGATTATGTAATTAATCATTGAGTTTATGGTTTTTGTGAAAGTAAATTGTGTTCATGTTTTAACCAAAACAGAAAAAACACATTAATTACTGATTAAACAAACAATAAAAGTATTTAATTATTTTATTAATTTGTTTTAGGACTTTCGGTTTATAGCGAGGGCATAAAACAGTGAAAACAATTTATTTCAATACTAATTAATAATATAATTGACAGAATGGTTACATTAAATTCAAAATGATTCCTGGTCCAATACTATTCATATATTTAAGAGTTAAATTAATACTAGCAATGTTAATGCTTTGTTACCTGTTTTAATATAGACAATCAAATCAATTTAATCTAAAAGTTGCCCTTAAACGTACAACTCATCATAATTTACATTATCATATGATATATTGTACGAAAGTACAGAAAGTATTTTATTTTCTAATCGTAAACCTATTAAATTATTGATTTGATATCTGCTTGATATGTTGGGAGAGAGAGAGAGAGAGAGAGAGAGAGAGAGAGAGTATATGTATTGATAATCTTATGGTTTCCTTTGAATTAAAATAATTTCCAAATAGTTAACATTATCTCATTAAATGTACTGCAATTTAATAATTGTTTATATTAATTAAACAGAAATTAAAGATTTATCTAAATTAAGTGATTAAATCTGGATATTACTTGTTAGTACATTAGTATATAAATAGTACATTATATTAAAAATTAAAAATAATTATTTATTTAATATTTTAGATACTTTCTTAAAATTCTAGACCTTAAGTCTTAAATGGTGAATAAGTGTTTAATTGACAATGTATGCTATTAATATGTGCACTTAAATGTATTTTAAATTACGGATATAAATTGCAATTTATTGGGACATTATTGAGACACATTGGTTGGCAAAAAAGTAATGCGTAAACTTTGCTATCAGTTGTGATAAATGAAATAAAAAACTTAAACTTTCTTATTGATACAAATTTATCTAATCTCTCTCTTTGAAGCCTTAATAGTGTATATAATATAAAACAATAAACCCTTTTGTTTGGAGTCACTATAAAAGAGTGAGAAAAACTGATTTTGTGCTCATTTTATGATTAGTCTTACCGTTGAATAAGACATAATTCACACATAATTTAGTACTCAATGTATTTATAATTGATTTCATGTTCAGACTTAATGCACTGTACCTTATGCCTAGAATTCCTATACTAACTATGATATTATAGCATGTAATTTAACTAATATAACGAATATAGCATTCAATTTAATGTTAGGAAATATTGAAGCTATTTTATACCCAAAGTTTAACTTTTAATATGTGATAAACAAGAAACGACACCTATTTATACACAGTTTTGTTTAAATTAACATCAGCTGTCTGTGAAAAACTGTTTTACAATATTTAGTATTTTTAAACAGAAAAATTATTTATAATCTCCTTAAAAATAATGAATATATTTATATAAAAGTATGAAATATAAAGTAAAAAGTATAATGTACAATATATAAAAGCGAATGATAGATAGGTACACAGGAATAAGAGTCTGGATCCTATTCCCATAATACATGTGCTCATCTACTGACAGACATACCTTGCATACTAGTATACTATCAGACTGTGCATAACTTGGATGAAATTTTATTTATTTATTCAAACCCAAAGATAATATACTACGAAAATAATCATTTGACACAATAATTAAACAACAATAAAATTAGTGTTGAAATAGGCACTGAAAACCCAGAGTCAAAATGAAAACATACCCGGAGCAGATTGATCGATGTCATTATTGTTAATATCAAACGTGGAAAAGTCACTATTTTTCTGTGTTATGGCTTTGCAACGTCTGTCCAATGGCTCGCGATATTTGGGTTCTGTAATGGCATATAATAAATGATAGATAAATATGAGCCAGCAACATTATTACACTTTTTATTATCATTACAGAATAAATAAAGTGTAATATTTCTTTCAAATCAAATCTAACGCTTGGAAACAGAGATATTGTATCAAATAGTTTAGGGTTTCGATGAATTTCATGCGAAAGTCACAGAATTTGAAACCTTGCTTAAATTGCTTAAATGCTGAAATTATTTTAAAATTTTGTAAATGCATTACTAATTCTGAAATTTCTATTTATATAAAACATTTTTAAGCAATGATTAATCGCCTAATGGTAATATAATATGAATGAATGATTTATAATATAAATGCTAGTCTAAACATACGATTTTGCTTAGGATTGCAATGATAATAACGCATTTGTTTGTATCTCCATTTGCAGCCAATGTTATAATAATAGTGGATGTGTTTGCTCTCATCTGCCATTTGGCATAACTTTTCAATTCTGATGATTTGGACATAAAAAGGGAGTAAAAATAGAAAATTATTATTACAAACAATATAAATTCAAACATGTTTTATATCAAGAATAACAAGGAAAACAAAGAATTTCATGAAATAACAGATAAGTAAAAAAACTTGTGATTCATATTTAATGTGAATCATAAGCCTATGTATTATCAGATCAATAGAGAATAATAATGTGTTACAGAAAACAATGTATATTCCGTTTAACACAAGTGTAGTACAATTCAATGTTACATACATTTTGTGTAAGGAATCTTATTAATAATAAAATATATTTCATAAATAATTCTTGTGATTATAACAAGAATTTTGAGTTCACAGGTGCTTTAAACTAGAAATTACTTGCAACTTACTAGTACAGTATTTATATAGGGTTACACAACTTTGGTTAAGTATTTTAGTTATATTACACTTCTAGAAACTACAACTAATTGATTAATTAATTAAAATCAATTAATAGGAGCTTTTATAAATTAATTTTAACGTTATAGCTCAAACTAATTATGAATTACTACTTTTAAGTATAGTTAAGGAAAATTTTTAAAGTAAGATAAATGTGCACGTGTACCATAACTATGCCTGTACAATAAATATTTGGTATACTGTACACTATATTGGTGACTGTGAATGTCATACGAGTATATTGGTGAAAGAAATCAATACATATAACTATAATTTAATAATTAAAAATAATTGTTTGCGTCTGAAAGTTTAAATATACTTCTTAAATGATATAAGAAAATATCGATAATAAAATTAATGAGAGAATAGCACGTAATGTTATTTTTTGAATAAAATCCAGAATTACATAATAAAACAATAAATATTCACATATATTTTTATTAATGGTAGTGAATTGGTATTTAAAACAGTAATAAAAACTCAATAACTATAATATTTAACTTCATTTATAATTTTAAGATATTTATTTAAAAAATAGTTGCGAAAATTATTTCACATAATTATCTACACATTAAATAAGTAGTAAAAATAATTATTATGTTTTAAAACAATTACTCACAGAATAGTATCAGCCATTAAACCTTTTTGTATAAAAAGTAATCATAAGTTTTTTTGTGTTAATAGAGAAAACTATGCAAACATTTAATCGTTAAGTTTTGGTATCGAAAGCACACCTGATATCCCAAAGTCATGTGCCTTTCCCTCTGAAACGAGGTTTATATACTCGTAATACAGTATATAGTTGTGTTTTGCACTTAAATACACTTAACATAATAAATAGCTAATCATTTTACGCTGTACAAACTTAGGTCAAAAATATGTTCAATACTAATTAATTTAAAAGTATTTTTTTAAATAAAATAATTAACACACACGCATACATACAAATATGAATTGTAAATACCAAACATCAAGAATAGTTACATACTGTATGTAACATACATGTATGAATGAGAAAGCACACATACCTTTCCTATTGTGAGTACAGAATTCCCGTATATGTGAGAGAGTGGTTGAGTAATCGAGAAGTGTTTATATAAAATAACTTTTGAGAGGACTGGTAGGGATGGTAGTGTTGGATAGGATATTGCTTATAAAATACTAGTGCTCTCGGAATACAATTACTTCGGACTTATGTTTGAGTTAAAAGTAAAAATGTTTTTATAAATCAAATAGAAAACTTTTATATACACAACTCAAATGTATAACAAATATGTGATGATTATTAATATATTTAAATACAGATGGTCTTCACTCGCACTTCATTTACAAACTAACTGTACATATAATGAGTTTTTATGAACTTTTTATATATAAACTTTTTTATTATTCTATATATATAGTTGTATATACAGAATATAAATATATACCCCGAAAATTAGGTCAGTAATAACTTGCAGCTCTCCCTTTGCTCTCTTTGCTCTCTCTTTGCTCTCTCCACACACTCTCTCACGAATATTTCACTTTACTTTCACTCTCTTTTTAACGCATATATGAAACACAGCTAATAATAATAATATATTATATGAAAACCAATATATCATTGTATGTATTGATGTGTTATAATAATATTCTTATTATTTATTAGTGTTAAACAACTTTCCAATATAAAAATAATACAAAAACAATTCCAATTGATTTATGTCGAGTAGAAATTATAATTATTATTATTGTAATGCAGTCGACTGTATGGTATTTATTTAGACACTTTTAGACTTAAAAAACAGTAATAAAATAACGATGAGTATATATATAGCGTAACACTGTTTATACAAACATATTATAATTGGGTCCACAATACAGAGTACAGAATACTTTTGTGTTCAAGAATTCATTCGCTGTTAAAACAATACACAATTATATTGTATATTATATATGACACCGAAACTAATGTTTGTTTCGTATATCATATGTAGTTTTATATTAAAATCCAGTGTATTTTATCAGTATATTTTATGGCACTAACCAATATAATATAATACGAGCTATTATTATAAATATTTCACTTTTATATCCCAACAATAAATTCAATTAATAACAGATAGGACTTTGAGTTTATATAGTGTTCAGTTGGCTCTCTATCTCCCTTTCCTTCTCCCACTCCGTTTGCATTACTCACATGAAATTGTTAAGCATTTTATTTGTAATTTTATTTATATCTATTATAATAAATTTATTGTTTTATCTAAACATTTAAGTATGACTTTCTAATCTATTTTACAAAATCTTATGCTCACAAAAGTCACAAAAGTTCTCGATATAAGGTACGAGAATTGTACTAAATGTGAACTAATATGACGATAATTAATATGTGTACAAGCACACTGTGAATCCATAGGATATACATAGTACAGTATTGATAAGTTTGCTAATAGTTTATATGTGTTAATTATCTACAAAATATGTAATGATAGTTCACTATAATATCTTCATATAAGTTACAGAAAATTTTGAGAGAGAGAGAGAGAGAGAGAGAGAGAGAGAATATAGTGTACACACATAGCATTGCATACTATAGGGAACAATAAATATGTACTTTTCTATTCTTATATTTAATTATTTGATTGCCATAAACACCAGTGCCTCCAGACTGAAGAGGGGGTGTTATGTTACAGGATTACAAAACTTGGGATAAAATATCTAATCAGTAAGTAATGGATATTCAAACATGCATTGAGTATCAATTTCTAATGAATTGTGGACTTCAATGTGATTTTTTCGTATGACGTCTGTGCGATATATATAATAGGATCGTGGGCAGATAAGTGCACAATCCCCAACAAAGTCCCTGGTCATTATATTCATTACAGGTCTTTATAATATGAAATTGATATAAAAGAAAATGAAACTTTTTCTTTGAAAATGTTATAAAAGCATCAAATGCTATAATACTGTGGCTATAAATACAATAAAATTATTGATAATAATAACTAATTCATTGCTAAAATTTTGAGAATTGAAAAAATTATTATAATATTATTTTTCATATAAATATTTATAATTGTCTGCACTTTCAATTATGATTCTCAAAAATTTTAGATACTTAATGTATTTTAATATAATTATATTATTTGTTCAATGATTAATCTTATGCCTTAAATATACAGTACAATTTATGACTAAAATTACATTTACAGCTATAAATTGTTGCCATTAAATTTAATCTTAAGGAAAATTAAATTATACAATAAATTGTATAATATTCTCATATAAATGTTACAAAATGGATATTTTCACATGTTTGGTTCACTTTTTGATTAGTGTTTTGTAAAATTCCAGTCTTATTACCATTTGATAACATGTTTTCGTATATCTTATGTGAGACTAACTTTTCCTAAATTCAAGTGTCAGTCAATTAGATGGAAGTTCTTTATAAGTGAGAGTTCATTAACAATGCAATTCAACAAATGAATTATTAGTTAAACATACAAAACGATTATAATTATAGTTAAGTAATTGATTTCGTGTGAACTCATTAAGCCATGAGTTTGTGATTAATGTGCTGTTAATGAGAGTTAGGAATACATCCTATCCTT